TATATTTATATACAACAAATGTGTGTATATCACAGGTAATAGAGCGGCAATAAAGTTACAGAAAATAGGAACATTAAGAATGCGACTACAGTTAGTTGATTTGGAATACTTACATACGACATATTATTTTATTTCCAGGTACTTTGGATGCGTAGGTATGTGTATGTAGTCTTAACATCAATCAAGAATAAACGCATTGATCGTCAACTTTCGATTTTTGCATAATTTTAGGCGGTCGAAGGCAAGCCTAGCTCTTGGCTAATATATTCGGCAGTATTAACATTGATTGATATGTGAAAATTTATCCAAAAAACATACATACAAAATTTTTTTACTGTACAACAAATTTATCGATTAATCGACCCTGTTAGATATTTTTGGGAAATATTGATGGAAGGAATAAGATTGTGACAAAGATTTCGAATTTTTAAGCCACTCTAAATGTATGTAAATTTTTTCACCGAAAAAACTTTTTAGGCAAGCCGTAATAATTTTGTCCAAAAATAAAAAATTTTGAATAGTACATCGAGAATTACCAGTATTATGCTATTATAATAACAAATTTTTATAGTTTTTCGATTTAGGATATTTCAAAGCAGAAAAATCTTGCTGACCGTCAAACATCTTTTATTGGAGGTGCTCCTAGAGGATCGGCTACGGACTAAAGGGAATCTAAAATTTCCCAAAATTAATCCGGATTATTAAATGACATTAAATATTATACATTATTATATTAATTTATTTTTTTATTCATATTTATTTATAAAATCATATACAAGGTGCGTTCCAAAGTAAACAGGACTTTAAAAAAAACAGAACAAATGGTTTTTTCGGCAAAATCAATTTATTTTATTCAAAATCGTCTCCTTCAGCTTCAATACAACTTTTTGCACGATCGAAAAAGCGTGTCGAACGAGTGTTTTAGCTCGCTGGCAGGTATGGCCGCCAGTATGCCGGTGCAAGCCTTTTCAATGAGCTCTACGTCTGCATAACGCTTTCCTTTCATGGGTTCATCAGGTGTATACGGAGAGTGGTAAATCATTAAAATGTGATTTTTGGTCAAATAATCTTCCTTGATGTTCAATTCCATTTCCATAAATTCCAATAATGATTTCGGTTGATTTTTGATGAATTTAGTTTTGCTGGAATTGTTGTTGATCGTCATTTATGTCCTCACGACCACTTTGAAAACGTTGAAACCACTCGTGCACTCTGCTACGGGATAGGCAATCGTCGCTATAAACTTGTTTCATCAGTTGAAACGTTTCGGTAAGAATTTTACCAATTTAAAACAAAATTTTATGTTGGCTCTTTGTTCGAAGTTCATTTTTGCGCCGATAACACAAACATACTGACCCTTAAAACGTAATAACTTCACTCCAATCTGTGGAATGTCATGAAATTCGCACTGGATAACCGATAGAGATAGCAGATATAGCAGATTCTAACGCACCAGTCGACATATAGACTAGCCACTAGGGGGCGCTAGATTCAAAAAGTGTTTAGTTTGGAACGCACATTGTAGATTTATAAAAAAAAATTCCTCTTCAAAAAATTCGTTTTTTTTTTATCTAAATCTCCCAATTAGTGTTTACAAATCCATTAGAAGATTGAGGGAATTTGCAATGCTTTTCAAACTAATTAAGTGATAAGAGTTTATAATTATGTAGACATATATGAATATAGATTATACAGATGTGTAAGTGCGAAAAATGTGACTCACTTAATCCGTCGGCTTTCAACTATAATTCACAGGGGGCTTATTAAGCTTTTGCGTATCCCGTTATTAAAAGAGCTTAGCTTCAGTGGTCTTTCAGAAAGATTGCATACGAAGAAATGCAATTGCTTTAGATAATATATGTTATTGTTGTTATACAACAACGTCCTGTTTGTTTATTTTGCTCGGGATTATCTACCAAATGCCAGTTTTTACAAAAAAAAAAGTATTTATCTAATGGAGTTAATATGCTCTACATAAAGGTATATAGTCATAAGTATGTGAATACCTTGCAGAAAATTTTAAACAGTCAGGGGTTCCATTTGGGGTATCCTTACAATCATGAATTCAGATATAATGATATTTTTCTAAGAAATGAAGAACGTGGAAGACCACCATGAAAGTTTAAAGACGCCGCATTGCAAGCAATATTGAATGAAGATCACACTTTGAGTGAAAAGCAAATGCAAATGTTCAATGCTGCGAAACAAAAAATATCAGACCCTTTAAAAGTATGGGAGAGATCCAACGGTGTGAAAAATGGGTGCCAAATGAATAAAATAAAACAAATCGAAAATCGAAAAACACTTGAAATTTTGTTACAAAGACACGAAAGAAATCAGTTTTGCATCGAAGCGTAAATGGCGATGAAAATGGATTTATTTGAAGTATTCTAAAGGGAGAAAATTTATGAGTTAAACCGGGACAACCATCAACATTCATTGCAAAAATAGATAGATTCGGCATTACTCTGTGTTTGGTGGGATCAGAAGGGTGTGGTATATTATGAGCTTTTAAAATTTGGTGAAACTGCTAATACTAACAGACAACAAATTATGGATTTGAAGCATGCATTGTTCGAAAAACGGCCAGAATGGGCCGTAAGATACGGCAAAGTAATTTTGTTATCGCGCGCTGTGTTCGATATTCGGTCGATATGTATAATTGCTTAGCAGAATCGATAATTCGAGTAAACATCGATCGGTTTCTCACCACGTTGACTCTAGTGGATATTTCACATCCTCACAGAGCTCGCACAGTGCGTACCGAATTTGCTGTTTCTGCTGTGAAGCAGAGTATACAAGAAGACCCGAATAAATCCATCCACCATTCCGCGCAATTGGATTTGTGCCCATTCACTTTATGGATGATTCTGAGGAAAGATATTGCTTTGCGGGATTACAAAATCCCACCCGTGCAAGAATTTAAGCCGAACTACCATGACGCGCGTGCCTCGTTCGGTAAATTGGCCCAAAGCGAAATTGCCCAGGATCGGCGATTTTCACAAGAAAATTTTGTTCAGTGATGAAGCTCACGTTTGGTTGAATTGTTATGATAATAAAGAAATGTTAGGTGTGCTTCCTAATGTTACTCAACTGAGCATAAAGTGCCATAATTAAAGGCTGTTAATGTGAACGACCTTCGTTTCCGACAATACGACGCTACATGCCATGCAGCAAGAGAAAACAATCAATTTATTGAAGAAAACTTTTTGTGAGCGCATTATCTGGCGTCTTGAGCTCATAGCCGCCCAAATTAATTATGTGAAAACGCTTGTATACGCAGATAAGAGAGATAAGTCCGAGAGGATTGACGCCTTGGAAGAGAATATTCGACGCGTTATTTCTTGCATACGGCAAGAAGCGATGCAAAATTGGGGCTCTCGGATGGAACTTATTCGAGCCAGCCGTGGCGATCATTTGCTCAAAATAACTTTTAAAGCAAAATGACGAACCTCTATGGTCTATTGATCGCGCTTGAACTATAAAATGAATTCTTTGTGAACCCATAACAATAGAATGCCTGTAATTTAAAACTATAAGTTAGCAAAAACGCCTTGTGGCCACTATAAATTTTCTCAGGCACTTGATTTTATTTCCAACAGTTCGGTGCAATATCTGAAAGTTTGAGCACCAATCTCTCAAATGGTTCCACCTGGTGTCCGGTAAGATTCTCAACGGCAAGAGCTTGAAAAACACTCCAAGTTGACAGAGAGTTCCTAACAATTATCCACGCATGCAATTTTCCTTTCAAGCTTTGGCTCATCCATAAAGAAGCTCACTGCCCTGCTTCTTCAACTGCTTCTACACACCCACAACTTCTTCACGGGTATATGGTCGGAGAAAAAGTCGTCAGAGTTCGGTTTAGCCAACTTTATTTGCTCTCTCTTCGAAATTAGGCTTCCATTAAAGCTGCCTATCACGAACACAGGTTGTTCTAGTAAATATATTTCAGTTTTCTTCAGGTTAATGGCGAGGTCACGTGCGGCTGCCAAATTTTTTACAACGCTGATGATACATTGTCTGCATAGGCAATAACCCGACAGCCATCGAAAGATAATAGAAAGTTGAAAAACCTTTGTTGAGGAAATATGTGTATTACTGGAAAGAATTTTAAAGAAAGATGTCAACCAAACTGATCAGCTTATCTTTTTCCGCAGACAAAGGACTGAGGAAGTTCTCTATGCCTCTAAATACGCTATAACGCTTTCAATTTCTTGCTTGTTGCTGCTTCATAAAGCAAAGGGTGCAGTCACGGGTGCAGAGTCGATGTTGGAATGAAGCTTGAATGCAGAAAAATATAATAAAAGGTTAGGTAATCTAAATATTTAATACTCATGGTATAAATAAGTGGCTTTTATTAGCTAATATAAGAATCACAATTGCTTAGACGGTACAATAGCTTTCCAAAGCGTCTGCATAAGCTGTTTTAAGTATATATCTAGAACAAATATGCGAATAGTATCGTCGAACTGAAAGCGCCAAAGCTGCCTACGCAAGTGGAGGAGTATAATTTCTCATTGGGTCTGTACCGCACACAAGTATTGTGCATCAATAACAAGCTGCAGACAAAAGGTACACGGTACACCGCATATATGTGCAGTATACGCGAATGTTTGTACGTGTATATGTGTGTACAAATAAAGAGATTCTTATCAGTTAGTAATTGCAAAAATGTTATATGACAACGAGAGATTATCAGCTTCAGCGCTACAAGTGGCGGCAGCACATTCGCACAAACCGAGTTTTTTATGTGCAAAATTTTATATACATATGTATTTGGGTATATGTATAGTATATATGTGCATATATACATATATATTTACATTTGACTATGTGCGCGCGTATGTATTTATGTGTTTATTGTATTTGAAGCGACAGTCCATGTACGCGGCGAACAAACAAATAGGAACGCGATAACAATATATAATAAAAAAATAAAATGAAAATAAAAACTCAGGTTGCCATATGTTGTTGCCAACAGTATTTTTTTTTTTTTTTACCTGAATCGAGCTTCCGCTCTTTTGTAGGGATAGACGCAAAAATCCAAAAGGAAAAATACTGCTATAGTTGCCAGAGTCACGGCGAATTTGCAAAGCGGCGCCAGCAGCCGCGCTCGATGGACTGCGACAGGCGGGCGAAGCCGAGGCGGGATTCAGCGGTGACATTTCGGAGAAAGCGCGACCCATTTGCATGAGACGCGGCGGCGTGCGACGCGTTTGTTCGCCGACAGCGCCCTCCTCAGGCGCCTCAACCTCTTGGGTGGTGTTGAGCGCTTTCTTCATAACTTTTTTCACTTTATACTTTCAAGTGTAAGGAAATTTTTATAACAATAATAACAAAATAGATTTGTTGGGTAAGAAGCACTAACTTATTTTTTACGAATTTCAACCTTTTTCGTAAATTTTTTTCTAATTTTCTAAAACACACACACACTCGCGCACTATTTGGGGGAAAGGTCAACACAATTTCGTTCGAAAGCAAATCAAAATGAATGTACAACAAAACAAACAAACGTATGTACTTGTACATATGTATGTAAATACTCGTACTGAGGAATGTCCACCGTTCGCCGCGCGTGGCGTGGTACCGAGCAGCGTGCGGTAGGGGCGGCGGTGAGGCGGTGTATACTCGTACGCGTCTATGAATGTGCGAACTTAGTCGTCTGTGCGGCGAGTGACTAAACTCAAATAAGTAGCGGCGTGCGCGCGCGAGCTAACTAATGGCGCGTATCAACTCGAACTACCGTTAAACCAATCATTAGGCTCCGAAAACAAAGGCAGCTAAGGCAACAGCGTATTTTTGCGATTTTACGCCATTTAACGCTGAGCCGCGGAAATCGCGGACCTCTAACAATGTAGTTATGTACAAATGTATATGCTTTCTTCACTTCGCTGATTAGTTTAGTCTCGCCGCGCGGCTCCCGTAACCGCGCGTCGCTCTGCCTGTGCACCGCGTCGCTGACAATGACTGCATAAATGCCCGTCGGTGTCTGTCATAAACCGCGAGAGCTGAGACAATGTACGGTACTATCATAGAATGCACTGCAGTCCCGGCATATGTACCCACACGTCTAGGGATAATTTGTATGTCAAAGCTGATAGACAGCTCGATGAGATAAGAGCCGCTTACACAGACGCATAGCGGTTTAGTGACTCTGTGAAGAGTAATTTTTGTGTTGAGTAAAACAATTTCATTTTATGGTAAACAAAATGTTTTTGGTGGTTTTCAACCTACATATGTAGGGATGTATATGGGACCAATTTGTTATATTATTCTGAAGCGCCCAACTACCTGCACAGACAACACAATTATGAGCACCATCTAATATTTTGATGATATATGGTACATACATACATACATACACACATACATGTTTGCTCAGCATAAACATTCGGCCGCTCACCTCATCCGCAGACCTGACGCAGTCGACGTTCGTTCGAGATAATCAGCTGAAAAGCACAGCTGGCTTTTTTCTTATTTAGAAACAACTATAATTATGAGTAAAACAAATGCAGTCGAATAGAGGATAGTTGTTCCAACAGTTGATAATACAAAGCTTTGATAGCAAAGAGAGCTGGTGACGAAAATAAGGGTTCCGATTAGTAGGGCACAGTTACAAATTTGTAAATTTTGTGAGATACTGCTCAACTTCAGAGTAGTTTTTTTTTGGCTCGTAAAAGTCAACCAGTGATCTACTGGTTAGAACCTGCCACACTCAAGAGAGTAGAGCTGTTCGTCTACTTTCGTGAAGAGTAATTTTGCAAATTTATAAATAACTTGAAAGCGGTAGCTAGAAGTACTTTCTTCAATAGCCTTTTTTCACAGAAAAATTCACTTTCTGCGTGTACTATTCGCAACACTATCACCCATCTTGAGACCCAGATTTCATTACTGGATAATGTCGTCAGAATAGACCACGTCTAGCACGCCCGAAAGAAATATAGCAGCCGTAACTGAGAGTCTACACGAAGACCGTAGGAAGTGGATTCGACGCATTTCACGTCGAGATTTTAAATTGAAAGCGTACGAAAAAATTGCTCCTACAAGAACTGAAGCCACTCGACCTTCTCAAGCGACAACGGTTGGCTATATGGACTCTTGAAAAGTTCCAAGAAGGTCCGACGCAACCTGAAGATATTCAAGAGTTGTCATTTTATACAGAAAAAACAACGGTTTGGTGTGGGTAATGAGCTGGTGGAATCATCGGTCCATATTTCTTCAAAAATGATGCCCGCAGAACGTAACCGTCCGTTATCGCACCATAATAACCGATTGTTTGATGCCTGAAATTCGCTCGTCATCTCATCGACATTTGGTTACAACAAGACGGTCCACTTCTAACATATCGTATCAACCAATGGATTTATTAAAAAAAAAAAAAAAAAAAAAAAAAAAAAAAAAAAAAAAAAAAAAAAAAAAAAAAAAAAACAGTTCGATGAGCAGATAATTTCACGTTTTGGGCCATTCGATTGGCCACCAAGACCTTTTAATATCACACAGTTAGTCCTTTCCTTGTGGGAATATGGAAAGTCTAAAGTATATACGGACAGTCCCGCTTCGATTCAGACCTTTACGCTCGCATTCCAGTTACTACTCGAAATGCTCGAAAGAGTAATCGAAAATTGGACTCAATGGATGGTCTTTGGTTCTGAGACGTAGCCGCGGCCAACATTTGAAAGAGATAAACTTAAAAAATAAATACCAAAGAATGTTCTTTCGAATGAAAAAAAAGTTGGGAACCTTAAAATGGATATAAGTATTTCGGGATAGCCTTCTTAACATTTATCAAGTATTTGTTATGTCGGAAATGATTGGCCTACTAAATAGTTTGGCTTTACTAAACGCACAATTATTTTCCCAGACTCGTCTGTAGTTTTGCCGCTATAGGCAGTTGATAGGAACCAAAATAGCCTCTGTTATTTTACTCACTTTAATCATTCACAACTTGACATTATTCCCGTTTCGTAAGTCAAACAAATTCGTTAAATTGTTGTTAGACGTACCAAGTACAAATACGTATGTATGTATGTGTGCAGAAGTATGTAAACATGTGTGCTGGTAATGCAAGGCTTTGCATTAGGGTGCTGGCAGTTTTTAGATTATGTTTAATGGAAAAATTGAAATAAAAACTACAACTTTGTGTGGCAAAAAAAGCTAAATTACTTTTTTTGGGGGAAGAGACACCCGGAAGTATGGCTGCCCACTACTAAGCACATAATATACTACTCCGAGCAATAAATAGTAAAACTTTGTTAATAATTCTTAATTTATTTTTCAAAATCTATGTCATCCGAATCAAAGTAATCCCCTTATAACAAAAATTTTTTCAATCCTTTGTAAGTTGTAAAGTCACTTTCCGGAATAGCCTTTATTGCGTCTAATGTCTTCAATTGACTCAAAACAGTTTCTCCGGAGCGGTCGTTTGAGTTTGCTGAATAGCCAGAAGTTACACGGAGCTAAATCAGTCGAATACGGTGGTTGCGACGCGATATTGGTTGAAAATTTGGCGAAAAACTCACGTAGAATAAATGGTGGTATAAAAATCGAGGAAAACAGTCAACATAACCTTGATTTTTGAACTGTTTTGAGGCTTTTTTTCAGTTTCGGCTCACCTTTGCCATGATATCCGGCTAATTGACCGTCTGTTTCCGGGCTGTAAGTATATATCCAAGGCTCACTAATAATATCATGTTTCTTGACATCCTTGTAATCGAAAAGCATTATTTCACAAACGTAAACACGACATTGTTTTTTCGAAAAATTGTAGCGATTTTCACTTCTTACGCACAAATGATCTTTTGAAATGGTTTTCACTCATCCTACCAATATTCCAACGATGCCAGTAAAATCTTTGACTGTTAATCGTCGATTCTAATGCACCAATTCCTAACTGCGAGATGGCTGCTAACCAAAAGTTGTGAAAACAGTCTCAATCTATAGTATCATAGACCAAATAGTGTATGTAAACATATTGAAGCATGTTGTTACCATTTGTCAGAGGGGAAATGGCTATAAAAAAGACATTGGAACAGAATAACGACACAAAAGATACGATCAAATTAGCTAATGAGTGGTTTGCTTCAGAAAAGATCGAAGTTATGTCAAGGCAAAAGCAGGCATTAGAAACTGAATTCAAACGAAAATTTATGAGTTAAATAAGTTATCGTAACGGTAAATGCATCGAACAGAACACAACTTTAGGTAGTGGTCAAGGAAACATCCCTATCAAGCGTTGTCGTTAACGGTAGTAGACTCTATGCAACGCCGGTGTATGGATGACTTAAAAAATAAAGGTTTTACAACCAAACACTAACCAATCAAAAACATAATTTTTTTTTTTTTTTTTTTTTTTTTTTTTTTTGTTGTGTCTTACTTTCTACAAACTAGACACTACTAATTTTGTGAACAGACACATTTTTATATAGCATAATATTAAGAGCACTACTATTTTAATGAACACAGCTGTACATACATACCTATGTATATACATACATATACTGATGCCGTTTATTGAATTGGCGAAATAGTAAAATATCAATTTTAGCAAAGCTTTGTATTTGTTACACTTAAATCAGTCTTTCATAGCTATGCGACTGAAACGAACAAGGTGATACTGAAATATACATAATGTGGCGTAGTTCAAAGCAAGTGCCAAAAAGGAAAAAAATAAAATAAATTATTTTATATTCCAAAAGTAAATAAAAAAAAAAAAAATATTCCAAAAGAATACATAGTGCATATTCGGAAAAATATATTAAAAACAAAGTAATAAGAAACTACAAAATAAACTATTTAACATAGGAAAATAGGCGAGTGTTTTAAAGAATAGTAATTTTTCACAATTAAATAAAAGGAGCTTAATTCGCTTATCATCTGTCAATGAATTCATCTCCACTTAGTGAAAAATACTAATTATTTTATCGAAACGAATTATTGCTGTGGTGAGTTCGTTGGCCAATTAAGTTAGACAATATGCAAGATATGCAAGTGCTTTCATATAATCAGTTCATATTTCGATTTTTTTTTATTTTTTGAACATTATTTAACTCATTCATCATATGTAAGTGTATATAAAACTCTGATGGAAATTTGATAAAACAACTTAGTATTTTTATTCAGTGGACATAAAATAGTAAAACTTTTTAATTAAAAATTTCGCGCCTATTCGTCGAAATAATTTTTTCTAGATTTATACGACTGATCTATTGCAAGTGACAAATGACAATAATCATTACTGCTTACAATAGCTTGTCTTTCTGATGTACATAAAATGCATTCGATGATTTTTAAGATGAGCGAAATTATTCAACAAAAAAGGTCCATTAAATTTTGTGTGCGGTACCAAATTTTGGTGCCGAGACACTCAGAATGTTGGAAAAGGCCTTCGTTGATAAGTTTTTGTTGCGAGTAAGTTTTTTGATGCGTACAAATTTTTCAAAGAGGGTCGAAAATGAACCACGTTCAAGACAACGATCAACATCAACTGATGATCAACACAAAAGAAAGGAATTGATGCTTGAGGATCGACAATTAAAAATTAGAGATTCTACTAACATCGTTATAATATCAGAAAGATCAGTTAAAACTACTTTGAGAGATCATTTGTGCCTAAGAAAAGTAAATAGACGATCTTTTCCAAAAATCACTCAATTTCTTCAAAAACAGTTAACGTCTGAGAAACAATGCTATCCGACTACCAGGATATCATGAAACGTATTTCTGCTTGCGATGAGTATTGGTTCTAAGCTTACGACACCGAAACAGACGTTCAATCGACCGAACATCGTGACAAAGGTGAGCCCAAGCCACCGTTAAAAAAAAAAGAGGACGGATTTATGGGGCGACAACTCTTGGTTTTTACACCACTATAATGGAATTTTCGTTAAGTTTTTAACCAATATCGTGCCGCAATCATCGCATTCGCCTGATTTAGTTCCGTGAGGGTTCTGAGTCAAATACAGACATTAAGCGTGGATCGCTACGCGCATTAAAGGCTACTCCGCAAATTT